TATGTAATATATATAATACATACACACACACACAAAGAATCAATGAATTGTGCAGTTCTTTGAAAAAAAATGAATAAAATGGGCGAGCCCCTGGCCAAATTTAGTAAAATAAGCAAACACCCAAATTCATGCAGTTAGAAATGACAAAGGCAGGCCGGGGGGTTTGGCTCAGTGGTTCCACCACCTGCCTTGCAAGCGCAAGGCCCAAGTTCGATTCCCAGTACCAAAAGAAATGACAAAGGCAAAAATCACAATGCATTCTGTCAAATCCAGAGGTTCCTTGGTAACTACTTTAAGACTCTGCACTCTAATAAAATGGAAAATTCAGAAGAAATAGATAGATTCCTAGATATATATTTGAACAGATACAAAGATCCTGAATAATCTTAATACTAGTCAATGAAATTGAAATAAAAAAGCTTCTAACTAATAAAAGCCCAGGTCTTGATGTATTCACTGCCAAATTCTCTAACAACTTTAGAGAAGAGCTAATGCCAATACTCCTCAAACTATAATGTATAAAGGGAAGCAGTATGCCCAAGTCATTCCCAGAAGCAAGCATTACCCTGATTCCAAAGTCAAAAAAGGATTCAACCAAAACAGAAAGCTACAGGCCAATCTTTTTAATGAATACAGATGCAAAAGTTCTCTGTAAGATAATGGCAAACAAAATGAAGTACATCATCAAACACATCAGAGATCGTGACCAAGCAGGCTTCAGGGATGGAAGGATGGTTAAATATATGAAAATCAAAAAATATAATATACCACGTAAACAGAAGCAAGGACAAAAATCACATGATCATCTCAGTAGATGTAGAAAAAGCATCTGACAAAATCCAACATCCATTCCTAACAAAGAACTCTGAAGAAAACAGGTATAGAAGATCTCTATCTCAATCTGATAAAAGCCATCTATGACAAATCAATGACTAACATCACTTTAAATGGAGAGAAGCTGATAGCTTTCCTTCTAAAATCAGGAACAAGACAAGGATGTCCTCTATCACCACTCCTACTCTCGAACATTAGCCAGAGCAACTAGGCAGGAGGAAGAAATAAAAAGTATATACATAGGAAAAGATATTAAATTATCATTACTTAAATGAGAACCAAGACCTGGCTTGTAAAGGTACAAGATCCCAGTAATGAATGTAACTGTACTGTCTACCTAGAATGTACCAATAAATTAAATTTTTTAAAAAAAATTATCATTACTTACAGAGGACATGATCCTCTACATAGAAGACCCCAAAAACTTCACCAAAAGACTTCTAGAATAATCAAATTCAGTAGCACAGCAAGATACAAAAATCAACATTGAAAAATCAATAATGTTCTTGTACACCAAAAATAAACTCATAGAGAAAGAAATTAGGGAAACAATACTTTTCACAATAGCATCAAGAAAGACGTAATACTTAGTTAACCTAAGTAAAAGACCTTTAAAATGAAAACTATAGTACTCTGAAAAGTGAGATCAAAGAGGACAACAGAAAATGGAAAGACAGAACTGTTCCTGAATAGGCAGAACCAATATACTCAAAATAACCATATTTCCAAAACTGTTTTACAAATTTAATGCAATCCCAATCAAAATACCAGTAGCATTCCTCACAGAAATCAAGAAAGCAATTCTAAAATTCATATGGAATCAGAAGAGAATTAAAGCACCAAAAACAATTCTGGACAATAAGAGCAAGGCAAGGGCCATTAAAATCCCAGATTTCAACTTACACTACAAAGTTACAGTGATAAAAACAGCATGGTACTAGCAAAAACAAACAAGCAAACCAGACTTGTGGCTCACTGGAACAGAACAAAGCAGAGCTAACTCTAGGCAAACTCAGCTATCTTATCTTTGACAAAAAGGCCAAACACTTTATCTGGAGGAAAGATAGACTCTTTAACAAAAGGTGTTGGGGAAAGTAGCTATCCACACTCCAAGATCAAACCTATATCCATATCTCTCACCATGCACCAAACTAAAATAAAACTGGATCAAAGATCTAAATATAACAAAAAAATTTTAATGTGCTA